TCAAAAATTTTTCTCTTTCCCCTCGTTAAAATGTAGTTTTGTTAGGCTTGGTTTTTGATCAAAATTAATTTATGTCGTAGGTTTAACATTAGTTAAGTTAGTACTCATTTGACTTCATTTCTTACCTTATTATCATATTTATTGATTGATTCAGTTTGTGTCATGATATTTACTCCAATTTTATTGTAAGCAGAAGCTAAACAAAGTGTTATAATTAAAACGGCTTCTGTTGATCTGTGATGCATTATTTTACCACGGTGTAAACCACTCCACTTACATCGCAGTTCACCATGCAGCACACATCTTGCTGGAGAGAGTCAAATCAAATTCAAATGTACTTTATTACTTGTGCTTACACTTGTCAGGGGCTAAAAAGTAGATTCCATTTATTACAGTAATTTTTTTCTGTTTATAGATGATTTTTTTTACCATGAGGTCAAAGATTTTAGATTAGTAGCTTAAAAAAGAAAACATCTTTCTTTATTTTAAGGCAAAAACTATTGTTGAATGAGTAAGGTTACAGCTTTGTTACAGACTAAGATCAATTGTTTAATTAGTCAGGACCATTTATTCAAAGCCCAATGATCAAGGACAACTGCGTCTAGTTTCGAACCATTAAAAAGATTCGGAATTTTCTCGAGATTGAATTGGCAACCTTCTGATAACCAGACGAGCACTAACTAATGTCCTAATCTGAGTTTAAGAAGCAGAATGAGATTGAACTAGTATTATATGTAAAGATAATAACAAAATAATCATACTTAAAATTAATTAACTAAAGGTAAATAAACTGATTTACAGGATTGTAGGCTCAAATAGTTTTTGAACTATTTGTATTCAAAACAATTCAAATGTATTAAAAAACTATTGTGCCTACAATCCTGAAAATCTGTTTAATTTACCTTAAGTTAATTAATTTAAAGTATGATTAAGTTATTTTGTTATTATTTTTACATACTTTCCTGATAAAATCTTAGGTAATAACTAGCTGACCCGGCGAACTTCGTATCGCCTAAGTTATAGGTTTCCCCTAAGACAGACCGATGGAAAGAAAGTACCGTTACGTTTAATTTTCAAGATGATCTCGTTCGCATCGCTCAATCACGTCCTGGTTGGAGCTCGTTCGCTACACTCACTCACCTTTAGGTTGGAGCTCGTTCGCTGCGCTCACTTGCCTTCAGGTTAGCTCGTTCGCTACGCTCACTCGCCTCCAGGTTGAAGTTTGTTCGCTACGCTCACTCACCTTTTGGTTGCAAATTAGCTGTTGTCATAAATGTAAAAGAAATAATAGTGCTGCACCCTGTTGGTAATCCTTGTAACTTTAATGCTATTGAACATCATAGAACAGAACCAACTTGTTTAATTGAAACAGCTGTTAAGATTCATTAATTCCATTTCTCATAAGGTTAACATGGGATACTCCAGAGCCACTGGGGCGGAGCCCTTTTAAGAATTTCGAAACGGGAAATAGTTTACGTCCGATTCGCATACCTACAGAATTTACACACCAAATTTCATAACGATCGGTGAAGTCGTTCCGGAGGAGTTTGCAGACAAACACTGTGACACGAGAATTTTATATATTAGATTACTTCAAAAACAATAGGCTATTATGATTGTCAACATTTGAAACAAATTTTTGAATACCTGTTATACTACCAGTGGCACAAGTGAAATAAACGGTATCAGCATTCTGACACATACTTTCTCCCATAAGATTGTCAACAACCTTTCTCACGAGTAAGCGGTGAGAGTAAATATACGGTAATGGGATTTGTACAATTTTCTTCAGAATTTAAAGGACTATAACATACTAAATTTTTATCAAAATCGTTCTAGCCAATTTTGGGAAAATCTGATTTTCCGTTATTTTATAGGGATTTTTATGGGAAAATAACATAATTTACCATAACTTTTGAACCATAATTTTTACAGAAATGGGATTTGTACCATTTTGTTTAGAATATAAAGGACTATAACATACTAAATTTTTATCAAAATCGTTCGGGCCATTTTTTAGAAAATCCTATTTTTCCAGTTTTTTATAGGAAAATCCACATTAAAAATAAAATTTTCTAAAAAATGACAAAAACTATCAAAATTGTAAGGATCATAACATACTCTGTTAAATCAAAACCGGATTTTTGTCTAAAATCCTATTTTAGCGAATTTCCCTATAGGGAAGTAGCTATTACCGTAGGTCTCATGGTAAGACTTAGGCCCGGGACCGATTTACTTTTTCATTTTAATGTCCCCAGAGGCCAAAAACCAATTCGTTCAAATTTTTATATATGTATATATATAGGTATATATATAGATTTATATATATATATATGTGTCCGTGAACACGATAACTTGAGTAATTTTTATCCGATTTTGATGAAATTTGGTTTGAAGGTGTAAGGCGGGATAAACTTGAATGAGTTCGGGATCCAGCATGATCGGACCATGGGAACAGGGTTTTATGGGGTAAAAATGGGTTTTTCTCACTTTTTACCCTCAAAACACAAAATTTCCCAATTTTTCTCTAAACCTTCTTAAAGAGCTTAAAAAAACAAACAATTCAGTATATAAAAGTGTTTTTGTACGGTTATTGGTTACGGAGAAAACTAAAAAAATGGTAAATTTAAAATTCCCATGTTATTTTAATGGAGAATATTGTAAAACGTAGTTTGCTTGTTTATGGATATATTTTGATCAAAGTTGGCAAATTTATTTATTTTATAGTAAGCTATCAATATTTTACTAAAAACACACTACTTTATTAGTTTCCTTGTAGCAGCAAACCTAGGTACTCGTTAAACCTAATAATGTTATTTAAATAGATCAATTGAAAATCAATTCGGACAAATGGAAATTCGCTTAGACGGCAGGTTTGCTGCGGCGGGAGTATTTTGTTATTTTATGGGAAAATAACATAATTTACCATAACTTTTGAACCGTAATTTTTACAGAAATGGGATTTGTACCATTTTGTTCAGAATTTAAAGGGCTACAACATACTAAATTTTTATCAAAATCGTTCGGGCCATTTTTGAGAAAATCCGATTTTCCCAGTTTTTTATGGGAAAATCCCCATAAAAAATCTAAATTTCAAAAAAATGAAAAAAACGCCTGGAGATACCACGGATTAGAACCTACATACCAAATTTCATTGAAATCGGACCACAGGTGTAGTCCCTAGCTCTGTACACAGACACACACACACACACACATCACTTCAAAAACCAATTTTTTGGGTCCAGGGGGACCCAAAACGAATATATCCACTCAAAACTCAAACTCGAAAATTTTGACGAAAACAATACTTTCTCCATATACTATGGTATAGGGGGAGAAAGTAAAAATGGAAGTCAGCGTCAAAATCCTCAGTCGATGTATCATCTTCGCCCACAAAATTGTTGACAAAAAAGTTTCTTTACAGTGTTTTCCATGTTACTATCCGTCGTCCAGCATTCATTTTGTATCCTCTGCATGTTATTTTTCCACAAAGCCTCATTCACAATGTCAGTCAATGCGTACAGAGACATGCTACCTGATAGAAAATATATGTGCAATGTTGACCTATGTTGTGTTGAATATGTGGCAACTAAGAGGTCAATGATAGATTGACAGTTTTATAAAACGTTTGTAATGATTTAAGGCTTAGTGAAAATAAAATGTAATTAGGCTACAAAATAATGGTTTGTATTTGTTCGGAACAAAACTGATTGTAAAAGTGAAACTGAGATTTTAACATGTTTCTATTAATAGTATATGTACATTGCATTTTAGAGTATATATAGACAAACACATTATTTTGCAAAATTTAGAGTTTTATTCATAAAGTTATTTATTTAAAAAAGTGAAATATTGAATGAAAAATCAATAAAATAGGTGGAGGCTAAGTAGCAGTGTTAACATTTCTGATATGAATATAAAATCACACTCGACAAGTTTGTTAGCCCCACAAATAATAGAACCAAATCAAAACACAATTTAGTTTTTTTGTTACCATAAACTGTCAAGGCGTCATCATGCTCAGCGTCTGCAAATAGTGTTTGATAACCTCCAAATCTCCCTGGCTAAAGAGAAACTTCTTAATTCTCTTAGACAGTAGTACGGTACACATAGCTTTGTTATTCTGGAACATTAAGCGACTTCCATCCGACATCATCACTACTTCACTACTAGATATTTCTAAGGAACATACAGTATTATTATTTAATCCATCAAAATCATCGTCTAAGTCCCTCTTTAGCCTATTACCAGAAATGATAGGGCGGGAACACAGAAGGGGTTTGATTGCTTCATTCCACAACGTAGATCAATTTAGGCCTATATATTTGTTATTTCCTCTACTTAAATTTATTCATTTAAATTGTATATTTGTAGATGTATTAACTTTTTTAATAAGAAATTATATGCAAAGTGGTGGGGAGTTATATATTGAGCTGTGCCAAAAGGCTCACATGTTCGGGGAAAACACCTGACACCAGTGGCCCTGAATGAGGTTCATACTTTCACATAGCAGCATATAAATCTAGCTGTTTTTTCCCGTTTTGGATCATATTCAGACCTCAGTATCCGTGTGTGATGTAACTTAGCCTGTCTCAAACAGAGCTATCTCGCCACTCTCATTTCAAGCTACATCTCCCTACCTATAACCACCATACCTTTTTCCATGACATAACCTGTGTATTTTACTGTGGTTGTACCATACCAAAAGGTGTGTTTTATTTTACAACCTGATGAAAATCGTCTTATCACACCAACTATGCAACGCTCATAGGTGATGGTTTGTTTCATCCTTTATATTCTGTTGCTGCACAGCTGTAAATATAAGGTTAAATGATCTAGTAACTTATATGTTCCTTTTGGATTAAGTTCTGTAAATCCCTGCAGTCTCAAAAATAATTATTTTCCTTTATATTTTCTCTACATTCAACATTACTAGGAACCTCTTTTTCTCCTAAACTGTCCTACTTATCAGAGTCTGATTGAAATTTGTCTGATAACTTAGAAAAGGTTAATAATCTTGAAGACAACTTTTTTTTGTCAACAGATTCACACTATGGTAACACATCTTTGGTATTTTTATTTTCTAAGATTACGCAACTTAAAAGCTACTCTGGTAACAAAAACTCTGCAAGGTCTTCATCTCCGAACTCATCGTCAACTTGGCTCCTGCTCCGTGCCGCAGTCCGAGGTCGCTCTTGAGGACCGAGCGGATCTGAGTAGCTCGCATCTAAACAATTACGACACGTTTGCATATGACCAGAAATAGGGAAATACACTCTAATTTAAAGAAGTGATTGATTTAAATATGTACTGGTTGGTTGACATTCCAGTCTCATAGTAACCTACAATCATTAGCTGTTGAACAATTTCAACTAACTCAGCAGCTATTAGATTATTCTTGTACAAAACTTCTGAGTATTTTTGATTTTTTAGGTTAATTTCACAAATAAGCTATTCCTTTGGCATTACTTTTAAATTATGAAGGATATCCTGGGCTGATTCTTAAATTTATTTATGGTTTGGTTTGGTGTAACTGTCCAACTGTATTTAAAAAAATAATAATAAAATAAAATAGGTAGAGGTCGGCTTCGGGTAGGGCTAGCTCCAAGGAAAGAAAAAAAACTAAAAACAATGTTAAATAAATCTGGCAAACACCCAGTGTGTAAGGCAACATGGTGAATTGTAAACTTAAATGTAGGCCTATATTCACCAATGTTCTGGAACTGACTGCGACCGAAGCTAGGTTCTGCGCCTGACTCTAGCACAGACAGCTTGGCTTGTCTAGAGGCTGAGGTGAGGCTACCTCTGGTGGGAGGTGTAGAGTCACTGAGAGGACTGGCAACACCTTGGGACGACCTGCCACTGCTACGTCTAGAGCCTACACACAAGGGATACAAAATTTAATTTACAAAAGTAAATTCTGAACAAGTTATAGGGCAAAAATAATAACCTTGACTTCATGGATGGGTCAGTTTACTGGTTTTTGGGCAGAAAACCCCAAACTGAGACAATGATCTTTGATGGTCTTTGCGATTGCAGGATTTGCTCTTAATTTGGCTGCAATTGCAGGATACTTTTAATACTTTTCATTGAAATGGCGACCATACAAAGTAGGTATTTTAAGCCAAGTATGAATGATGATGAGTGATGCGATCGTGTAGTCTTGTTAGTGACTAAAGGCTGACATATTCCTTAGACACAGAATTTAATAAATAGCCCAAACAGCTAATGGCAACTAGGGACCTACAGTTTATAGTGGAATCCGAACCACATTTTTGCCTTGGTTTTAACTAATTGGTCTAATTATGATGATGATGTCTTTCCACCATCACAGGACACAGAGATCACGTCTTCGTGATTGGTGAACAATTATTATACTGCTATTGAGATTTTCAAAATTTCACCTTGATACTGAGAGGATGGTTATGATAATTTCAGTCATGATATAAACCTTTAACTACATCTCAAAACTTTGCAAGTTCATAGTGTAGAACAAGAGTATTCTAAGACCAATGGTAAATCTCAGGATTTTATACATTTTAGTGAAATTCCAGTTAAGTTAGAATGGTTGATAATACAGAATTTTATTTTTCCTAATTCATTATTGGACTGGATTAGAGTCTTACAAAAACTCTCAATTCATAAGTAGGCCTATAATTAATTTTTATTTTTACTAACTGTCAGTGTAACTTTTGTAACAGTACTTTTTGGAAGAGTTAACGTATGTACATAAGTTTAACTAACCAGTTCCGGATTGGCTGCTTCCGATTCTTTCTCTAAGCTCTTTGGCTTTTTCTGCCTTTTTCAGTTGCATCGCATACGTGGCAGCTTCAGGCAGGCCCATGTCACTGCACATTCTGACTAGAAACTTCAAACCTGCAAACATTCAATAGGTATAAATAAATAAAGATGCCTTTACTAAGCGTTTCTCTGGTAGCCTACACTAGGTTTTCAGAATAACTTGAGTCACTATACACAGTACAAGAGGCAAATTGCTATTGCACAGTTTATTTTCAAAATAAACTTATCACACACTTTTATAGAAATTTCTATATTTCGGCATTAGCCTTCTTCAGGAACAAACACAATAACAAATAGAAGTGTTTACCACTCTGAATCATATGGTTTTAGCAAAAATCCAAAATACATATAATTTATGAAGAAGTAAAAAAGAAAATGTTTTGATAGAAAGAAAGAAAAAAATTTATATATATATGTATGTATATACTATCTCAAATTTAGACCGGAAGGTGTTTTAGATTTAAGTATTAATTGATGAGCTTGCTCAAGCTGTCTTAATTTCAAGTCTGGTGCGTCTTTTGCCAATTTTCTTATTCCTTTTAATGAATAACATTGTTCAAAATTTTGAGAATGCTCTCTCGCATGAATAGCCACAGGTTTTTGTTTATCAGGATGGTTTACATCATATCTGTGGCCATTCATACGAACTCTTAGAGCATTGGTGGTTTTGCCAATGTAGTCTTTAGGACAATTTTTTCAAGAAATTTGGTAAATTACATTAGTAGACTCACAGGTGATGTTACTATTTATGTTATAACATCTTTTTGTTTGCCTGCTTGTGAAAGTTTTTGATGGGATGATTAATTTGCAAGTGGCACATCGTGGTTTGTTGCATTGATTACAGCCCGAAGGTTTTGCTGAGGGTTGGGAAGTGGGAGGTAGTTTGGGTTTTGAAAGAATGTCTTTTAAGTTAGGAGCTTTTTTGTATATTAGTCTTGGGGGTTTGGAAAACAAATTATGGGTCAGAGGTGAATTTGAAAGAATATTATGTGCCACTCTTAAAACATTATTAACTTTGTAAAGGCCAGGAAAGTATTGGGTGATGAATTTTGGATCTTTTTTGAAATTATCTGTGTTAGGATTTTTTGAGCTTTTTATTTGACTGTCTATTAAATTTATAGGATAACCTCTTCTGTTAAGTGAATTGCTGAGTTTTTCAATATAATTTTGGTAATCACGATTTTCAGAACAAAGGTTTTTTGCTCGTATTGATAGGCTTTTTGGTATGGATTTTTTAATGTGTGCAGGATGACAGCTTGAGTAAGCTAAGTAATCCATTGTATTCGTATCCTTTACATGGATTTTGGATTTTAACATACCATCTCTAACAAAAACGTCAACATCCAAAAAAGTAACAATATCTTTTGAGAAGTTCCAGGTAAATTTAAGGATTGAGAATTGATTTAGATTTTCAAGGAAAGTTTGCAGGTTTTCTAGTCCATGTTCCCAAACCATGAAAATGTCATCAATAAACCTATACCAAATTGAAGGTTTCAACATTTGTGAATTTAGAAAAAGTTCTTCAACATGCCCAACAAATAAGTTTGCAAAAGAAGGTGCCATACGTGTGCCCATAGCTGTCCCTTTCACTTGAAGGTAATTTTGATCAAGGAATTTAAAATTGTTCATGGTTAAAACAAAATGAATTAAGTTTATAATAAAATTTGCACTAGGTTTGGAGTTAACTGGACGTTTTTCTAGGTATTTCTTTACAGATTTTTCTCCTTCTTCATGTGGGATGTTAGTATATAGTGAAACTACATCAATTGTCACCAATATAGTATTGTCCGTTAGTGGGGTGTTTAAGTTCTTAATTTTATTAAGGAAGTCTTTGGAGTCTCTTATATATGACGGTAAAGTTTTCACTATTGGTTGGAGGGTGTCATCAACGAATGCTGAAATCCTTTCAGTGGGTGATCCATATCCAGATACGATAGGTCTTCCAGGTGGTGGTCGAATGGGTTTGTGGACTTTAGGTAAAAGATAAAAAATTGGTGTTCTTGGATTTAGAGGGCTCAAAAGTTTTATAGTTTCTTGACTTAGGTCTTCATTTGGTCCATATTTTTGCAAAAATTTAGAAATGTCATCATTGAAAGTTAAGGTAGGGTCATTTGGGATTTTTTTGTAGAATTCAGCGTCATTCAGTTGTCTTTCTGCTTCTTTTATATAATCTTCACGATTCAAGATTACTGTACTGTTGCCTTTATCTGCTTTTACAATTATTATGGAAGAATTTTCTTTCAATGAACGTATAGCTTTTCTTTCATTTTTTGTAAGATTATCCTTTGAATGTAGTGAGGATTCAAATTTAGGATCAGAAATGTTGGAGATTACAGTATTAATGAATTGCTCTACTGGATGGTCAGGAGGAAGAGGATCAGGTTCCCAGTTTGATTTAGGTTTGAATTTATCCAAGCAATTGGGCGTTGAACAATTTAGACTGTGAATTTGGACTGTGTTTGGCTGTTGTTTAATATAATATTGTATTCTGACATTTCTAGCAAAAGAGAGACCATCTGCGACAAAATCAAAGTGATTAAACTTGGGACGTGGAGAGAAAGTGAGACCTTTATTGAGGACAGAGATTTCATCTACATTCAGAACATATTTAGATAGATTCATTACATTTCCCTCAGTTTTAATTTGTTCTTCATTTAGGTTAGGAGTACTGTTTATCTGTAGGTTGTTTACAAGTTCATTTTGGACAATGGGATGCTGAAAATTTGTTGTATTAGGTTGCTGAAAATTTTGTGTATTGGGTTGCTGAAAATTTTTGTTTGGATCTGAATTTAATAATCCTTTAAAACTGGTATTTGGGCATAGCCCAATATTGGAAGAGGAATCAAACAAGGTTTTCAATTTTTTGTTTAGATTTTCACATCTTTTAGTTTTCATTAATTGGTTTTGATCGTCAATTTTACGTTTTTCATCGATCACATCATGTTGAGGTGGTATGAGTTTATAAAGATCAATCAGTTGTTGTTCATACTCATTCTTTAGTGATTTATACTCTTCTGTTACTAGTTTTGTAAGTTCTAGACTTGTTCGTATAGAGAAATCTGTGATTTTACCTCTAACTTGAGGAGGAACACCAGTGAGAGGTATTTTAGGTCTAAGACCTTTTGGAGCAAAACCGTAGTTCAAACAAGATGTCATAAATAGTATATGACATTCAAGAGTAATAATTTTGTTAGAAAAATAAGAATATTGATTGAGAAAAAAAGATTTTGAATCAAGATTAGCCATATTTGAAAACAGAGTGATAATACAAAATAAAAAGTGTGTAAAAAGATAATTACCAAAAGGTTTCAACATTGTTTCTTCATAATATTGCCAAACGGCTTAATTATTTTCAAAATAAACTTATCACACACTTTTATAGAAATTTCTATATTTCGGCATTAGCCTTCTTCAGGAACAAACACAATAACAAATAGAAGTGTTTACCACTCTGAATCATATGGTTTTAGCAAAAATCCAAAATACATATAATTTATGAAGAAGTAAAAAAGAAAATGTTTTGATAGAAAGAAAGAAAAAAATTTATATATATATGTATGTATATACTATCTCAAATTTAGACCGGAAGGTGTTTTAGATTTAAGTATTAATTGATGAGCTTGCTCAAGCTGTCTTAATTTCAAGTCTGGTGCGTCTTTTGCCAATTTTCTTATTCCTTTTAATGAATAACATTGTTCAAAATTTTGAGAATGCTCTCTCGCATGAATAGCCACAGGTTTTTGTTTATCAGGATGGTTTACATCATATCTGTGGCCATTCATACGAACTCTTAGAGCATTGGTGGTTTTGCCAATGTAGTCTTTAGGACAATTTTTTCAAGAAATTTGGTAAATTACATTAGTAGACTCACAGGTGATGTTACTATTTATGTTATAACATCTTTTTGTTTGCCTGCTTGTGAAAGTTTTTGATGGGATGATTAATTTGCAAGTGGCACATCGTGGTTTGTTGCATTGATTACAGCCCGAAGGTTTTGCTGAGGGTTGGGAAGTGGGAGGTAGTTTGGGTTTTGAAAGAATGTCTTTTAAGTTAGGAGCTTTTTTGTATATTAGTCTTGGGGGTTTGGAAAACAAATTATGGGTCAGAGGTGAATTTGAAAGAATATTATGTGCCACTCTTAAAACATTATTAACTTTGTAAAGGCCAGGAAAGTATTGGGTGATGAATTTTGGATCTTTTTTGAAATTATCTGTGTTAGGATTTTTTGAGCTTTTTATTTGACTGTCTATTAAATTTATAGGATAACCTCTTCTGTTAAGTGAATTGCTGAGTTTTTCAATATAATTTTGGTAATCACGATTTTCAGAACAAAGGTTTTTTGCTCGTATTGATAGGCTTTTTGGTATGGATTTTTTAATGTGTGCAGGATGACAGCTTGAGTAAGCTAAGTAATCCATTGTATTCGTATCCTTTACATGGATTTTGGATTTTAACATACCATCTCTAACAAAAACGTCAACATCCAAAAAAGTAACAATATCTTTTGAGAAGTTCCAGGTAAATTTAAGGATTGAGAATTGATTTAGATTTTCAAGGAAAGTTTGCAGGTTTTCTAGTCCATGTTCCCAAACCATGAAAATGTCATCAATAAACCTATACCAAATTGAAGGTTTCAACATTTGTGAATTTAGAAAAAGTTCTTCAACATGCCCAACAAATAAGTTTGCAAAAGAAGGTGCCATACGTGTGCCCATAGCTGTCCCTTTCACTTGAAGGTAATTTTGATCAAGGAATTTAAAATTGTTCATGGTTAAAACAAAATGAATTAAGTTTATAATAAAATTTGCACTAGGTTTGGAGTTAACTGGACGTTTTTCTAGGTATTTCTTTACAGATTTTTCTCCTTCTTCATGTGGGATGTTAGTATATAGTGAAACTACATCAATTGTCACCAATATAGTATTGTCCGTTAGTGGGGTGTTTAAGTTCTTAATTTTATTAAGGAAGTCTTTGGAGTCTCTTATATATGACGGTAAAGTTTTCACTATTGGTTGGAGGGTGTCATCAACGAATGCTGAAATCTTTATTAGTCTTGGGGGTTTGGAAAACAAATTATGGGTCAGAGGTGAATTTGAAAGAATATTATGTGCCACTCTTTACCAAAATGTAAAGTGAAATTGAATTGAATTGTAAAATAAATGATAGAAAATATCTAGTACATGTTTATTGAAAGTAGCAGTGGACTGTAATAATTATAAGTTTGTTTTTAAAATATGTATAAACAAACAAAACATATGATTTGAATCACACATTGATAAATATAGTCTTTTTGAGAAATAATTGTATATAGGCTATGTAAATTATGTGTTTTTACACATTCTGGCCCCTTGAAATATGAAATTTTGTTATTTCAATCCATTTCTTGACCTGGTAAAGGGCACAGTTTTGAAATAGATCTTTTTATCAGTCCATCCTTTGTTTGTAATGTAGCAACTCGCACAAAATTGTCTTTTCCTGGATTCACTGCGATCACTCGCCCAATTTTCCAAGTACAAGGTGGTAAATTGTCGTCTTGAATAAGCATTATATCATCAATTTTTATATTAGGTCTTGATGTATTCCACCTTGACATTTTCTGCAGTTGGTTCAGATATTCCTTGCACCAGCGGTTCCAAAAATGCTGCGAGAGTTGTGGAACATGTTGCCATCGAGAAAGTCTATTTAATTTCAGATAATTTCAGACTAATATACAAAAAAGCTCCTAACTTAAAAGACATTCTTTCAAAACCCAAACTACCTCCCACTTCCCAACCCTCAGCAAAACCTTCGGGCTGTAATCAATGCAACAAACCACGATGTGCCACTTGCAAATTAATCATCCCATCAAAAACTTTCACAAGCAGGCAAACAAAAAGATGTTATAACATAAATAGTAACATCACCTGTGAGTCTACTAATGTAATTTACCAAATTTCTTGAAAAAATTGTCCTAAAGACTACATTGGCAAAACCACCAATGCTCTAAGAGTTCGTATGAATGGCCACAGATATGATGTAAACCATCCTGATAAACAAAAACCTGTGGCTATTCATGCGAGAGAGCATTCTCAAAATTTTGAACAATGTTATTCATTAAAAGGAATAAGAAAATTGGCAAAAGACGCACCAGACTTGAAATTAAGACAGCTTGAGCAAGCTCATCAATTAATACTTAAATCTAAAACACCTTCCGGTCTAAATTTGAGATAGTATATACATACATATATATATAAATTTTTTTCTTTCTTTCTATCAAAACATTTTCTTTTTTACTTCTTCATAAATTATATGTATTTTGGATTTTTGCTAAAACCATATGATTCAGAGTGGTAAACACTTCTATTTGTTATTGTGTTTGTTCCTGAAGAAGGCTAATGCCGAAATATAGAAATTTCTATAAAAGTGTGTGATAAGTTTATTTTGAAAATAATTAAGCCGTTTGGCAATATTATGAAGAAACAATGTTGAAACCTTTTGGTAATTATCTTTTTACACACTTTTTATTTTGTATTATCACTCTGTTTTCAAATATGGCTAATCTTGATTCAAAATCTTTTTTTCTCAATCAATATTCTTATTTTTCTAACAAAATTATTACTCTTGAATGTCATATACTATTTATGACATCTTGTTTGAACTACGGTTTTGCTCCAAAAGGTCTTAGACCTAAAATACCTCTCACTGGTGTTCCTCCTCAAGTTAGAGGTAAAATCACAGATTTCTCTATACGAACAAGTCTAGAACTTACAAAACTAGTAACAGAAGAGTATAAATCACTAAAGAATGAGTATGAACAACAACTGATTGATCTTTATAAACTCATACCACCTCAACATGATGTGATCGATGAAAAACGTAAAATTGACGATCAAAACCAATTAATGAAAACTAAAAGATGTGAAAATCTAAACAAAAAATTGAAAACCTTGTTTGATTCCTCTTCCAATATTGGGCTATGCCCAAATACCAGTTTTAAAGGATTATTAAATTCAGATCCAAACAAAAATTTTCAGCAACCCAATACACAAAATTTTCAGCAACCTAATACAACAAATTTTCAGCATCCCATTGTCCAAAATGAACTTGTAAACAACCTACAGATAAACAGTACTCCTAACCTAAATGAAGAACAAATTAAAACTGAGGGAAATGTAATGAATCTATCTAAATATGTTCTGAATGTAGATGAAATCTCTGTCCTCAATAAAGGTCTCACTTTCTCTCCACGTCCCAAGTTTAATCACTTTGATTTTGTCGCAGATGGTCTCTCTTTTGCTAGAAATGTCAGAATACAATATTATATTAAACAACAGCCAAACACAGTCCAAATTCACAGTCCAAATTGTTCAACGCCCAATTGCTTGGATAAATTCAAACCTAAATCAAACTGGGAACCTGATCCTCTTCCTCCTGACCATCCAGTAGAGCAATTCATTAATACTGTAATCTCCAACATTTCTGATCCTAAATTTGAATCCTCACTACATTCAAAGGATAATCTTACAAAAAATGAAAGAAAAGCTATACGTTCATTGAAAGAAAATTCTTCCATAATAATTGTAAAAGCAGATAAAGGCAACAGTACAGTAATCTTGAATCGTGAAGATTATATAAAAGAAGCAGAAAGACAACTGAATGACGCTGAATTCTACAAAAAAATCCCAAATGACCCTACCTTAACTTTCAATGATGACATTTCTAAATTTTTGCAAAAATATGGACCAAATGAAGACCTAAGTCAAGAAACTATAAAACTTTTGAGCCCTCTAAATCCAAGAACACCAATTTTTTATCTTTTACCTAAAGTCCACAAACCCATTCGACCACCACCTGGAAGACCTATCGTATCTGGATATGGATCACCCACTGAAAGGATTTCAGCATTCGTTGATGACACCCTCCAACCAATAGTGAAAACTTTACCGTCATATATAAGAGACTCCAAAGACTTCCTTAATAAAATTAAGAACTTAAACACCCCACTAACGGACAATACTATATTGGTGACAATTGATGTAGTTTCACTATATACTAACATCCCACATGAAGAAGGAGAAAAATCTGTAAAGAAATACCTAGAAAAACGTCCAGTTAACTCCAAACCTAGTGCAAATTTTATTATAAACTTAATTCATTTTGTTTTAACCATGAACAATTTTAAATTCCTTGATCAAAATTACCTTCAAGTGAAAGGGACAGCTATGGGCACACGTATGGCACCTTCTTTTGCAAACTTATTTGTTGGGCATGTTGAAGAACTTTTTCTAAATTCACAAATGTTGAAACCTTCAATTTGGTATAGGTTTATTGATGACATTTTCATGGTTTGGGAACATGGACTAGAAAACCTGCAAACTTTCCTTGAAAATCTAAATCAATTCTCAATCCTTAAATTTACCTGGAACTTCTCAAAAGATATTGTTACTTTTTTGGATGTTGACGTTTTTGTTAGAGATGGTATGTTAAAATCCAAAATCCATGTAAAGGATACGAATACAATGGATTACTTAGCTTACTCAAGCTGTCATCCTGCACACATTAAAAAATCCATACCAAAAAGCCTATCAATACGAGCAAAAAACCTTTGTTCTGAAAATCGTGATTACCAAAATTATATTGAAAAACTCAGCAATTCACTTAACAGAAGAGGTTATCCTATAAATTTAATAGACAGTCAAATAAAAAGCTCAAAAAATCCTAACACAGATAATTTCAAAAAAGATCCAAAATTCATCACCCAATACTTTCCTGGCCTTTACAAAGTTAATAATGTTTTAAGAGTGGCACATAATATTCTTTCAAATTCACCTCTGACCCATAATTTGTTTTCCAAACCCCCAAGACTAATATACAAAAAAGCTCCTAACTTAAAAGACATTCTTTCAAAACCCAAACTACCTCCCACTTCCCAACCCTCAGCAAAACCTTCGGGCTGTAATCAATGCAACAAACCACGATGTGCCACTTGCAAATCAATCATCCCATCAAAAACTTTCACAAGCAGGCAAACAAAAAGATGTTATAACATAAATAGTAACATCACCTGTGAGTCTACTAATGTAATTTACCAAATTTCTTGCAAAAATTGTCCTAAAGACTACATTGGCAAAACCACCAATGCTCTAAGAGTTCGTATGAATGGCCACAGATATGATGTAAACCATCCTGATAAACAAAAACCTGTGGCTATTCATGCGAGAGAGCATTCTCAAAATTTTGAACAATGTTATTCATTAAAAGGAATAAGAAAATTGGCAAAAGACGCACCAGACTTGAAATTAAGACAGCTTGAGCAAGCTCATCAATTAATACTTAAATCTAAAACACCTTCCGGTCTAAATTTGAGATAGTATATACATACATATATATATAAATTTTTTTCTTTCTTTCTATCAAAACATTTTCTTTTTTACTTCTTCATAAATTATATGTATTTTGGATTTTTGCTAAAACCATATGATTCAGAGTGGTAAACACTTCTATTTGTTATTGTGTTTGTTCCTGAAGAAGGCTAATGCCGAAATATAGAAATTTCTATAAAAGTGTGTGATAAGTTTATTTTGAAAATAATTAAGCCGTTTGGCAATATTATGAAGAAACAATATTGCACAGTTTAATGTGTTCCAAAACTTGTCTCAAGGCATAATGAATAATATAATTGGAATAATAATATATATTGGCTTTCAAAGATAACTTCTTAACTGACAAATTATACCATTCAAATATAACATTGTCATATGACCAGAAAAATATTAATGATTGTTTAATACAATTATTAGATTACAAAACTACTGATTTACAATAAATTTAAAAAGCTAGAACATATCATTCCACATTTTTACTGACATTCAATGTTTTCAGGGAACTCTTGCAGTATATCCTTGTAGGTCCGGAGAGCCAGCTGATAATTGCCGCTGCGACGGTGGCACGAGCCAATCAGAAGCCTCCATTTTGGCTCGTTGGGCTGCATCAAGGCGGCTTTTTCATAGTAGGCTACTGCTTTCTCCGCGACTTGCATCGAGACAAAATAAGCTCCGAGCCAGTCAAGCACGGCAAAGTTGGATGGGAAGTAGCGGAACGACTGCAAATTGTTATCGTAACTATTAAAACACATTTAACTGGCTTAAAATAAATTATTAATATATTAATAATACAAGAGAATTCTGAAAACTCCCATAGGCCTATTCGAGTTCAGAAAAAATACAATTTTTTAACCAAAGCATAGGAAAATTTAAGAAAATCTTCGCTAATGAGAGCTTAATGGTACATAAATCACAGTGAATAGAACATGATGGAGAGGGTGGGGGTAATTAGTATAAATTTAAGAAAAATTGAGAAGGAATTTTTTTTTAATTCTTAATACTTTTACAAAGCACCACAAACCTCAAAGTGGTAGTGATAGGCTTGCTGTTTGTCGTTTTCACCATCAAAGATTTCCCCCAGCTTATGAAGCACACCAGCATCTGTCGGTATGATCCCTAGCAACTGAAGAAACCTGTAATGCATACCATACTGTATATAGTGTAAACTATATCGGGCGTACCCGAACTAACTGGTTCCTTTGGCAAAATTGTTCATTGTATCCAAAGAAACATACGTTACAAGGTGGATAAAAACTAAGAGGCAACTGTGTTTCAAATCATAAATATTTAAGTGATTTCAAGTTATTTTCTCATTGAATTACTATATCCGGTTGTTACAAACCTGCAACTTGGCTCATAAGCTTAAATGCAAACTCTTTATTAAAAATTCAAAACTTCTTTTGGTCCCAGCATAGCTGGTGAAATAGGTGACAAGTAAAAAACTTATAAACAAAGACTATTATGAATAACATGATCACAAGCTCGGCAAAAGTATCGGAGAGATAGTCATCAATAAGAAAGGCTAAAAGTGACAATCATGAATAAAGTGTCTATGAATTGATGATTGGGTTAATTGAAATGGATTTAAAATATGATGTTCATTTCAAATTGGATATCCTTAGAGAATTTAAAACTAAAATCAAATCAAATCAAATCAATCAATCTTTATTCCAAGACAACAATGTACAAAAATCATACAATGCTGTATAGGCTGCGTCAATATGTAAACAGTGAATTAAGAAAACATTTCAAAGGTCAAAGCAATTGTCAAAATATTCTTCTAATTCATAAAAACAGTATTTCAATAACAAATTTTTAACAGCTATTTTAAATTTATCTAATGGTAACTCTTGAATATAATATCTATAATATAAAATCTACGAATCTAGTATAACCCTTAAAGACCTGCAATTAAGACATAAATGGAATGAAGGCTGAAACTTAACTGTAACCACAACCTAGTCAGTTACAACCAGTAGTGATAACATAGGTAAGAATCAAATCACGAACTCGAACATTGTTTTAATAATCAGAAAGAAAACGGTCAATGTTATCAATTGAAAGTTAAATTTCATTGTAATAAACAAAGATATAGGTTAGGTACATTAAACGTGGCGGTAGTTGACTAGAAAACTGCTGATCACCCATAATTGTAAACTGATAAAAAAAATTGAGTACCAGTATGTGTATATGAAGCTAAATCGACCTACCACTCGACAGATTGGTCCACGTCTCCCACCAGCTCATGCAGATGCGCGAGCTGGTACAGGACTTGCGGATGATGGTTCACTATTGCGTGCAGCTTGAGAAAACAGTCTAGAGAGTCTTCAAACAGACCCATCTGCTTGTTCACCAGACCTTCAATCAGATGCAAACTTTAGTCAAAAATATCAGGTTAAAAGTTTGTGAAGGGCTTTCAATGAAAGTTAAAATAACACCTACTTGGTTCAAGAAGTTGATTAAGCACAGGTCATTTGTAAACAAAATGTGGTTAAAGTGCACACTTCAAATCATAAGGTCGCTGGTTCGATACCAACCAGGGACAATTCTGGAGTCAGATGCCTGTTATCACTGGGCTATCAATTAAAGATGTTGTTTAAAAAAAAAGTTCGATGTTGGATGGTAACAAGACCATGGTTTGGAATGTTTCCTTAAAAAAAATATATAAAAATGCCAATGACGTAGGAAAAAAACCATTAGCTTAAGTTAAAACTAGGTACTAGTACTTTTACTACAGCTCCAGAATGGTATAGCTTTCTAATGGTCTCCCTTAGTTAGACATAGGATTTTAGCTTCAGTATAAAATTTTGGAATATAATTCAGGGACGTCAACAATAGTGATGGTAACAACAACCAGAACAGAGTAGCTAATGGCTAGTGCCTACAAGCTCAGAAAAACTAAAACCAGCAAATCATGGCATACAACTTCGATTAGATCGTTGTCACACTCAGGTGTATTTTAAAGCCAAGACGCATTAAGAACGTGTGTTGAATGAGATTACAGCTTTGTTACAGACTAAGGATCATACATACCCAGGTTATACAGAGCCTCAGTACAGGAAGTGTCATTGTCCAGAGCCAGAGTGTACAGCTGTTTAGCCTTCTGCTGGTCGCCCTTGGCCAGACTACAGTTGCCCAGGTTGACATAAGCCGCTGCATTGTAGCCGTCCACTTCCTTGGCCATCTCCCCACACTTCTCTGCCTGCTCTAGATCTCCTTGCTACAAGAGAAACAATAATATAACCTCAACATGCAACAACTCTAATGCTGTTTCTGTCACAAATCATAGTCATACTTTACAACAATGTCTTCATAACAATTCTACCCTTTCTTTTGTTTGCCTCTCCACCATCTGTTTCGGGCGCCTATCTTAAAATTTTGAAAATTTGGGAGGGTAAAACCAAACCATAGATAAAACAGACTTCCTTAGGAGATTTGTCATCCTTATCAGGATCAGGTGAGGATAATTTTATTTTTATTGTTGGTTCTGTCCGGTAAACAGTAGCGATGGTGTTTTCTTGTCAATTTGTGTATTGTTATTTCCGTCATTTAAAACCTCATTAAACCAAATAAAACTGACTAACCCAACAACTCGTCCAATATTTTCTACCTTATTTTTTGTTTCTGAGATGGTTGAGGTGAACTAAAAGATTATATAGCTTACAATAAGTTGTTCTATCAGTTTGACTTGGTTAAAAGGTCAGCTTATTCAGTCATTTACATCAGCGCAATCTGTTGGTCAGTTAATTCTACCATGATGATTGCAAAACTTACGTCATTTTTAATACAGGGATGGATTGTCCAGTATTATCAACGGTCAAAGGTAAAACTGATTTTACCTTAGTGAGCTATCTCGGTGATGCTAAAGATACTGCAGTATTTGAGTAAATAATTGTGCCATTAAATGTGTTGTATGTGATTAAATATCTGGAGGTTATAAAACCTTTAAAAGGCATTGGCTAGTAATCTCCACCAAAATCTAGTTGATGTAAATTCTGGCAATGGCTTACCAAGAAATGAACAAACGCCATGTTGGAGGCAGCGGTGCTCGCTACTTTGCTCTCCTTGCGCTGGAAGGTCTTGAGAGTGTCCATCGCCTGTGCGATGTCCTTTTGCTTCAGGAACATCACTGCCTTGTTGATCTCCAAGTCTCCAGCCAGAGGAGCGTAGATGGAGCTGTTGATAGCCTCCACACACCAGTTGTATCCTGGAAAAAGAAGAAGGATTTTTTTAAATAGATTGTATTTTTAACATAGTTGTCTGTTACAATGGACCAACCTAAAAACCAGATAATGCATTAAAAATCTGTGGCGGCGTTGTGACCTAGAAGTTACTGTTACAGCTAGGTGCCAACAGGAGTAAGAATTGGGTGTATTTATAAAACTTACAGTACTACTGAAAATTGTACTGAGCATTGGAATTCATGATAAACATTAGGCCTAGTGTTATTTGGGTGCTAGTTAATAAGAGACCATTGCTAGTAACAACTTTTTTTGTTACAGCCATTATGTTATGAACAATGTTCGTAGAAATTTCATGCTCTTAAAAAATGTATACAAAAACAGGTTAACGTCATCTGAGTTAGGAAGCAATCGAAATGTAAGCCGATTTCGTTCAGCGAGTTCCTAGAAGATGAAAAAGCAGACTGGGTCATTTATTATCCTACTAATGACTCTTTACAGCATCTCATGATGAAAACTGAATACATACAACAGTGACAACACAAAACAAATGATTCCATTGCAAGAGGTGTACCTGCAGTGAAATTGTCCTCAATGACTGGAGCTATGAGCTTTGCTGCCGTCAGAATACTCCTCTCCGCTTCCCTCTTCATCTGTTTTTCCAAAGCATGCAAACTATCTGTCCTGATAGCCTCCAGTACTAAGTTGGAGGCAGGATCATCCTGAATGAAGAAATGAAATAAACATGTTCAACACAAACATCAAACAAATTGTGTTGGTGGTCGTGATGCATACTGCACAGGATAACTGGTGCCTAGTTCGCTGTCAGATATCAAATTATCAAATTCCTTGTGAGTATACAATGCTAGTTTACGAGTGTTTCAACTCCTCTTTTGTAATTGAACATTTCCCAAAACCAAATCCTTTGCTGTATTCAAAAAAATTATTGCAGTTTAGTTAATTATGAGTTCTGACTGATGTGAACACTCACCGATGTTGGTATGTACTTTTCGTCATCGTCAATGTCCAACACCACCTCCAGTAGCATCTGAAACCCTTGCTTCATCCTGTCCTTGTCATCAAGTGCGTAATAGCAGACTATAGCGTGGAGCCCTACAAGCAGACTCACATGATAGAGTGAAATTTAACTTAATGTTGTCATTATGTAGAGTTAAAGATAATTATATTAGCCTACATCTAATTGTTAAGTACATAAGAGCATGATGAAACGGGACTTCAAAAGCAATACTTTCTTAGATTCATAAAAAATACAAATAAATATTTCAACTTATTAAAATTGAATGCATTAGTATTGAGGTTATTTGAAAGAATGTACAGTAAGTAACCATTCCAAAATGTGATATAATATTACTTATAAATTATTTTTGATAACATTTTGCCCTTATCATCCACTATGACTATGCCAATAATTGTCCACTTCCACTATAAATGTTAGGTTTTTACCAAAACCAGTTTTTGTTTGAGAATCGCAGAGAAGTAAGGTTTTTTACAGTGCTCGCCGCTTAGGCTCTTCCATGCTCGTCACAAGTACATTTCCGGCACAACAAACTACAGATGAAAGCGCAGTCTTCCCATAAGTAAGTTTCCTCTGTACCTTACCACTATGTGCGAGAGCAGTAGGTACTGACCTGCCTTGAAGTCCGGTTTCTCCTGCATGATGTACTCAAAGCTGGTGCAGGCGTCGCTAAATTGGCCCATCTTGACAAACAGAATACCTATATTGTGCATTATCTTGATCCTGGAAGAACAAAAAACTAATTGGGGATCTATTAAAAAATTGGAAAATTTGCAATGCAATCGCAACAAACTTGGTATGCTAGAGGTTGAGGAAATGTATATTCAAAACTTAAAAATCAATGTAAAACAAATATTAAGGATGAAAGTTAAAAAAAAATTAGTATGAAATCGAGGGGGGGTGTTTGCTAACAAACTCGCATGATATCAAGTTATCATTTACCTCAAGTCCTTATGTGTGTTTGGCACTTGGTCCAAAGCCATCCGATACATCTTGATGGCCTTCGGATACTGGCCCAACTTGACGTAGATGTTTCCGATGTTCACCTTGAGTTTGTTGGAATTGTGGAACATCCTGTTCTTTGTTATCACCAGATAAGTGTTGATGGCCTCGGAATACATCTCGTTGGCCGCGTACTGACTCGCCAAGTTAAACAGTACCTGTAATTACATTGATACCAGGTAAATTCAAGCTTTTAATATTTTAAATATAAAGCTGATACTTACAGCAGGGATCAATGTTTATTTTAGAGTGACTGTCTTTACAGCTTCTGTGGTAGATGTATTAACTTGGTTCAATGTTTACTGGCCAAAAAGGATGTCTAGGTACCGATATATTAGGTCCAACTAAATGGGAAGTTAATTCTTCATAAGTAAGTTGCATTACAGGCCATGTTTTATATATTTATATATGTTGATAAAAAAAGTTTGTTATACAACGGTATTTTTTCGTATTGTAATTTATGAGTGTAGGCCTATTTATTTTGCAAATTAAGAATTAGAAACAGGCTTTTCAAGAAATATAGCCTTAATTAAAAGTTTTCTGCAGGGATTAGTTTAACTATCAGAAAATGTTGGCTGGTCGTGTTTGAAAGCAAATCCAAAACTAAGACAAAACAAAGAACTTAATGATTTAGAGATAATAGACTATTATAGTTTGTTTCATGGAAAGGCTCTACGCCAGTATTTTTATTCCCTAAAAAGATTCATTCTACAAAAAATGGTAATAAAAAGATGTGTGTAAGTATAGTTTGAAGCTTATAAATATTATAAACAAACATATCTAGGGAGTCAATCCAACCAAGAAACTGGAAATTGTACTTAAATTTTAAAGACCTGGAAAAAAGTATGTAAATTGTATGGAGATCCTGAATAGGTCTAAGAAATGTTAACGCTAAAATAAACACAGCTTATAGCTATGTCGTCTGGCTGTGTATTTATCACTGGCACTCCATTTGGCTCCATCACTCTTTTCTCTTCAAATAAAAAAATAATACAACCGTAAGAAATAATTATGAGGTTAACATGATTGTGGAGGATGAACAAAATTGCATCGGCCACAGGAGATTACAACAGAATGTGCTGCAATCACGGAAAATGTTACAATATTGTGTCGCTATACAACTGGCCCCTTACTCCATAGAAGAATTTTCCACCTCCCAGATATAACCTACTGTAGATATAAATATTTTTGTTACTACTTTTTCATTTTTGCTTGGTTAATTGTAAATAGTAGATTTTAATTAGATTTAGTATTGTATTATATATGACGCTATTTACTGTACAAACTATGTACAAAAAAATGAATAAAGAACTATGACTATGACTATGACTATAGTCAATCACCAAATGCTGCTCCATGATCCCTGTCAAGCTTTTCCAATTTTTCGGTGATTTTGCTATTTTGCATATAGTTTAAGACGCATGTCCATTCCATTTAATCAAACAAACAATAAAAGAAACTTGGCACCCAGGCATGGATTTATGTATACTAACGTGTAGCCATCCTCAGGTCATGCTGCCAATAGGCCCATACCCATGGGACCAATGAATTTCAACGTAAATCCCTTTTTTTCTCAGTACTTTTACCGAAAACCAATGATGCCGTTGTCTTCAAAACGCATCAATAGTTAAATCCTCATAAACCTGCGTATCTTAAACTTATTGGTTTATTCTATTTGTCTAAAGTGCACGCCTACAGAGAACGTAAGGTCCAGATTGTGAGTATCGGAGAGTCCAGCTTGCTCCTGCAGTCGGATCAAGTTCCGCTCCTTAGTCGAGGCTTCCTTTGCCTTGTCCAAGGCTTGTCGCAGTTGCTGTTTGCTGGCAGCCAAACACGACTCATCAATTAACTCGGTGATTCTACGTTCTAGCTTCTTTATTTTGTCTTCGGGCCTAAAAATCAAAGATAAATTTTACTCAAAATGTTATTTTCCACCATAGATGATGTTACTGAAACAGTTAATATGTCATCAAAGAAGCCTGCTTACAATAAGTCATCCCATCAAATTGACTTGGTAAAAATAAGGTTTACGTATTTGACAAATCAGTATTTTACATCACCGCACTCTGTCAAAGACTCAATTCAACTACGTCTGTTTTGCTTCTAAAACTGTTGACAACTTATAAGGGGATGGAATCTCATGTTCGACCAATCAAAGGTAAAACATAAATTTTCCTTAACCAAGTTACAAGCAGCAAGACCTCGGCATACTTAAATAGCAAAAAACAAAATATGTTTAAAAATCTAACACAACAGATTTTAAATGTAGGACATGTACTCACTTTTCCTCCGCCTTGGCGTGTACCAGTGGTGGGGCAGATGCTTGGTTCAGTGGATCAAACACAGACCCAGCACGTCCTGCGGATGTGTACCCGGCGCCTCTAACAGCGGTCATTGGCCGGGTCACTGGGTCCTGACCCGTCATCACCCGGACTGAGCCCTCCCTGTACTGTAGACAAATCCTGTATTGAAATACTCCTACAGGACATTCAGGGTCAGCTGTAATAAATTAAGTCACATTTGTTGTTGACAGCTCGTCCTGTGAGTAGAAGGCTTGGTCTAGAAGTTGTCAGCTGCTTCTTGAACAGTCTGGGCTGTTTTCTCTTCCAGTGGTCTGGTTGGTTATGTTGAAGTGATAGCACCTTTGTTAGGAAACCATGTTTCAGTCATGTTTTAATAGTAAACAATTGAAAAAAATAATTTAAGTTTCATTTAGTGTGGTTTTATTTATTTTTCTAGTTGACCCAGGAGTTTTTTTTTACTACAAAGCCTCTATAGTCACTCTAACCAAAGAATTACTTATCAGCACTAAAGACATTTTATATTTTTATTTTTGGCTATCTTTAAATATTTTGTCTCGTCCAACTAAAAACTATATTGGCTTATGAAATAAAACAAAGTGATTGTAATACCATCTGAATATGTATTCATCTTTGCTTCACAAGTATTGTAAGTAGCCTATTAGAAACAAAGGTTTGGACTAAATATGTTGAACCCTAAGAAAAATATAGCCTACAAAATACTTGATAGAAGCATGTTTAAAGGAAACAGAACGCAGATTAAATCTGAAGAATTAACTGACTATAAACACAATAGATATGTAAAGGTACTACGATCTAGTTTGAAAAGTGTCAATCTTTTCAGCCCCTGGATTGCTTATATAATCAAATAGATAATGTAAGCTCTTACCTTAGCAATCCTTATTATGGTTGTCCGATATTAATTTCGAACCCGTAGGTCCATCTTCAGTCGGAAGTTTAGGTAGAGACCAAATGCTTATTATAAAATCCACCCGATGGGCTTTGTAGAAATGTTGAAATTTAACACGAACACGATACACATTACAATTGACATAAATAATATACGGAGTTTAGGGATAAAAACCATGGTTTTATAAAACAGTGGGATAACCTCACTTCAGTCACTCAGGGAACACACTGCCGGCAGAACTCCGTGTATCGTGTTCGTGTTAAATGTCAACATTTCTACAAAGCCCATCGGGTGGATTTTATAATAAGCATTTGGTCTACCTAAACTTCCGACTGAAGATGGACCTACAGGTTCAAAATTAATATCGGACAACCATATAATAAGGATTGCTAAGTTAAGAGCTTACATTATCTATTTGAAAAGTGGTTGATCTAAAATAAATCTTCAGGTATTAGCCCTTATATCTTACCCCAGAAGATGTTCCAAATCGCATAGCTGTTCCAGGTTTTGATGTTAACTGAAAACAACAAAATATGTTTAATAAGAATCCAACACACAATTTAATTTTATTTGTAGGCCTATTTGTGTTGAATTTTCATGACCAGTAAAACAATGTTCCTACATTGTAATTCTAATTTTGCACAACTCAAATATTCAACGATGAATATAATAAATAACTTAAATGGCTGATTAAAATTAATTCATTGTATGTAAACATTACTGATTATCATCTACAATGATTCAGGAAAACATCACACTATTAAATACAAAACTTACCAATCCAGGCCTTTTGCTGTATGAAGAGCGAAGGGCAATCTGCACATACTCATCCTGGTCTAGATCTTTTGTGTTGAACAGAGGAGATGGGAAATCATTGAAACCAGAATAAAGATCTTCTTCTTCATCATCCGGGACAAATCGTATTGTTTCCATTGTGAATCACAGTTTTCTCTAACTGTACCCAGCCTAAATTGCAACAAGATAACTTAACCTTAGTTTTAATAAAACACTGGACCATCAAGTGTTAAATTTGATATAGGTACTGTAGATTTAAAATATTTAAAGACATATTGCAAAATAAGTAAGTTAACTAGTTAACTACCAAAGGCTTAAGTTTAATAAAGTTATCTAAAGTAAGTTGCATAATAGTTACCTACTTTGTCTCTGCTCTGTGAAAATTTAAGAGCTTAGCTTAGGTCTAATTGCACAAGGGCCACACATAGTGGAATGACTAAATTTACATAGGTTTCACTATGAACCTAATCACTGATACTGCAGAATAATTGCATAATCACAAGTTACCACAAAAATATAAATTCATAGGCCTACAGAAAAAATTGTTTTAAGTTTAACATAAACCAATATCAATAAGGTCTATCTAATTTAAACACAATTGTTATTAAACGTAGATTGTGCAGGTTGTAAGCATGTTAAAATTTAATGAATTAATAGGTTACTCACTAAAGGTAAAGGTTTCACTTATGCATACTTTGTTATTGTGTTTTGTTGTTACCATTTGTTTTGTTGTGTTGTGTTGTGTTGTGTTGTGATGTTGATGTTTTCATTGGAATAGAATAGGGTTACCATGGAGACGACAAAGAGTAGTGATAAGTTTGTTCATGTATCAGTAATAAAATAAACTGAGCGTTGGTTATGGGTTTTTTTTCTTTTTCACCAATACATGCATTCGATTGATAACTAAACTAAGTAAACCTACTTTCTGCATTAATTATAACAAATCATAATTCAATAGAGTTGGAAATGAAATGTGGTTTTCCCACTGTGTACACCTGTAGGCTAGTAACATTTTTGAAGGACGAGGATTCGGAGGTACAAAGCTTTCTAAAAAAGTGGTCGAACGAAAAAAATATTATGTGTTGTGGGTGTCCCGGGAATAAAACTCGTCCCTCTCGCCCTGAAGTCCCGGTCCGAAGTCCGAGAAGCTAACTAGTAGACCAAGCAACAGTTAACACTCCCTTTTTACTTTTGTTCCCATGTTTATAGGATTCCAGCCTCCTCTATGTTCATATTGAACTTGAACACCTAGGTGGGGTCCTAATTCAATAATGATAATGCTAATATAGGCCTATATAAGAGAAATCAGGATCAACCTTGAGGAGTATTTTTAATCTATGGTTATGCCTTAGTCCTTACAAAAATGTATAACGGTAGTTGATATTTTTCACATTTTTTTTAGTCTAGCTTGAACGGATGGATCATGGCACTCACGGCCACCTTTAACTCCGGTGGCCGTGGATACATTTTGTATAGAGAGTAAGAAGAATACATCGTCAGTGAAGTGATACGGATACGAACCGAACCGAACCGAACGAGTTGTGTGTCATCTGCTGAGCTGAGCAAAATAACCTATTTTATAAATTTTTGACTTGTCCTTGAAATGAAAACGAAAACAATATTATTAAGATGGTGACACTCTTTGCATTTTAATTGTCTTCTAATGTCAAGTAAGTCTTAACTTTTGAGTGTTCAGTATTGTATTTATATAGTGACAGTTGCAGCCTGTCGAGTTGTTTTGTGATCCTTTTACCTCCATTGTAGAGGGAACTGCATTCATATTCCTTTTCGCTTTTTTACTCAATTTAGCCTATATAATTTATATTAGTTGGCCTTTCAACAAAATGGTGGTAACTAAAAACACTACAATCCCTTCTGATGAAGATTTGACCGTTCAAGAAGTAGATGTCAGTGGTGTTGTCTTAAGGGCTGCCTCATTTCATCTTGGTAAATATTGTGAAGATGTCAATAATGAGTTCATGCTTTGTAGGGGAGAAACTAAAGACATTCGCAAATGCCTAACCGAAGGTAAGGCTGTAACCAATTGTTCATTGGAGTTTTTCCAGAAGGTTAAGACCTCATGTTTTCAAGAATTCACAAACTATTACAACTGCATTGATAAAAGTAGCCCTAACTATCAGCTCGAACCATGTCGAAAGACTCAGAAAGTATTTGACAAATGCATGGTTGACAATTTAAATCTGGAACGACCACACTATGGCTACTTTTGCGAAGTTAAAGTTCATGACTCACCAAGGCCTAAACCTGAAGCTGAGGTTAGAGTGTACGCCGACACTCCAGAAAAAATTGCTATAGATTCTCCTAAACCACCAGGAAAATATGGATCAAGAAACATGTTTTTTTAAGGATGAAACATCTTCAAGAGTTTTTAGAAAAGGAAATATAAACAATATTTTGTCCATTTTATCAGTGTACATTGAAACAGTTGTTGTTCCTTTTGTTAGTAGAATGCTTAACTTATTGTAACTTTTTGGCACATTTATAAATAAAACCAATTACATTGTCGCCAAATTAACTTTATGTAAAAAGTTAGTTTTGAGTTACAGCAAGTCTGTTAAAAGGTTATTTAAGCCTAGGCCTATTCTGTCAACTGCTGTTAGTTAAATACTTGTTCGTTACTGGTACCTTTACAAATATAGTCCATTATGGTACTTATTTATTGCCATTTTTCCTTTGTTCTTGTCCATTATTCCATCTTCTAAGTTTAACCATGTACGTTAAATGCTCCCAATCTCTTAAATGCCACAAACATATGGGTTAAGTTAAAGTGTGGACCGATGCTTCTACCGATGTATCAAATGAGGCGACTCTCAAACCGATTATGATTTTCATAACCAGTGTTAACCCAAAACAAACAAAAGGTTGTAAACAAATCTAATTTAACGTACCATGATGCAAGTTTACAACAGTTGACAATTACTGAGTCAACATTTTAGATGTTAGCCCAAGTATCTAACTTACAAAAATGGGTTACCTATTTTATAACTATGATTTTGTCTGTCCTAGTAGCACAACCTATTTAAATCAAACCTAACTGCAATGTACGTTAGGCCCTATATGGATGTTCAAAACCAGGGTAGTAAAAACTTAACTTAAGTAAATAATATATTCATATTTTATTTTAATTGCACATATTATTACAAAGCAATTTAAATTCAAATTAAATAACTTAGGTACTTTATACATTTCTAAGTCCTTTTAACTTAGACACAAGTTGAGAAATAGGCTGTTAAAATAACTAGGCCATCGTTCTGAAAAGACAATGGTTATCCAAGGTGCAATATTGTGGTTTCTTTTGTATGTTAATTTCAAATTTAATTCATTGTAAATTGGTTAACGCTTTACATTTAATTATTCACAACGATCAAAAATCCTAACGGTAAATAAAATGTGTAAATGTTGACTTAAATCTGCATGAAATTATCAGGTTTTTGAAGAGAAACCGCAATAACACGTTTTAGTTATATTTTTAATAGTAAAGAAAATTAATCGTGATTATTGGGCTCTTTAGTCCCCTTAAGTGTGAACTCAGTAGATCAGCAGTTAATGAAAAGGATTGGGCATTGGACCGGGAAACAATACCCGGCTTTAAATATAGACGTTAGCGGCCCACAGGCTTTCCACAACAGTACAACTATTTCAGAGGCGGCTAGATTTGAAATAAATAATCTGTTCTTATAACAATATAAAATAATTTTTGTAGCAAAACTGGTAGCCCTCTTATTAAAGAGACTTTCTTTTTTTCCCACACATTAACAATGTCGGAGACATTAATATTCTGATTTATTCTAACTAGAGACACAATCTCACTAATAGAAAAGATTAGGAATATCAAATACAGTACATAATCCTAGGGTAAACTTTGGTTTCAACTTGTTTACACAACAGATTAAAATAATCATAGGCTGTACCTACAGTAATTTTATCCTTCCATGGATACTGACTGAAATTAAATTAGTAATACACGGTGGGTAACCTAAGACAACTTCTTATGGAATGATTTGTTTTATCAGTAACAACAAAAGAGAATATCCTACCATTTATTAAATATTCATCTATAGGTCTTATATAGTGATTTACATAATCTGCCAATTCCTAAGCCTTCACAAGGAATTAAGGAAAATTGTAAAAGAAAATTAAGATCAATGAAAGAGTCTTATGAAAGTATACATGGTAACTAACTAAATCTATGAATAAAAAATTGTGACCCCTTAGGCCAACCTAAAGTTTGACTGAATATGATATATGTTTAATCCAGTTTTATTGTATTCAATGTTTCTTAATCTTCATGAAAATAAATATGTTAACAAGAAACAGGAAAGTCATTGTTGGAAGTAGCTTATTTGAAAATGTTTGAAAACTTGGCAATACACTGCTATAAGAAAAAAAAATTGGTTTACCTTAAATACTATCTGTGCTTTACTTTGATATTGTTTTGTACACATTTAATTAAAGCTTCCTATAGTGAAAATTTACTAAAAGACAGTTTAAGGCACGAGATCCAAGAGAAGTAAGAAAACCCCTTTACCGGCACATTTACTTATAAATTAATATTTCGTTTATATTAATAATATTTACAGGAACAACAGTCAATGAAAGATATTGATGGATTGATAAAATAGTGAGTTTTAAATTTGTATCTTAACAGGAAGTGTACAGGCACCAGCTATATTAGAACGGATTAAAATACCAACAAATGTGATGATGTCAGTGATGTTTTAATTACTAATCAACTTAATAATAGTTAACACATTTAAGTAGTATAATATGCAATAGGAGGTTGTATTATTTTCAGAAACTGAGTTCAGTAATAATTTTTTGAAACAAGCACAAATTTTAATTTATTCCTCTTCTAAAATTCTGCATAACTTGTTCCAATACACTTGATAAAATAACCTTACCTGTCAACATGAAACAACGACAATGGTTAAAAAGAATAAGTTCCAAGTCAATACATTTATTTACTTTCTTATAGAAAATCAAGAAAAGTAAGTATCTTATATTTTCTTTGTGCCGAAATGTAATTCAGAAAAAAGTGCAGCACGATTGAGCATGATACAAGATTGACCCGTAAGTAAAGAACACTTCTATTTTATTTAATAACAAATAGCTTGCTTTAACTTAAAAGTGAGACACGAGTTATAGTTTAGTGTGTAGTTATATTTTTCCTATACAAAATAAATATTCTTTGGGAATGTTCTGAAAATAATCAATATTTATATAAGTTATATTTAGCAGGTAAAATGAAATATATTATGAATATATTAGTATCACAAAAAGTAAAAATATATCATATCACAAAAGCATTAAATAATATAAATAAATATTTTGTTAATATACATTCTTTGGTCACATAATATGTGGGTTGGAAAATGGAGTACAGTTATAAAACTAATTTAATATTGATTGTTCACTAACATAGTAATGTAACACACATACACACTATCGATCCTTAAAAGCAGAACCAAACTCGATTTTACAATTAAGAACCCTTACCCAACCAGACACAGGAGAAATTGCTAAGGAGTTTTTTTAGGAACATATAATCAAGAATTTAGCTAAGCATATGCCATTGTAATTTATGATTACTATTTTATTTAGTAGGTAACTACTTTTTAAGCGGTATCAAACACCTTTAAATATTATTTTCTCTGATAAGGATCAAGACTTAAATTTTTTGCCAGACAAATTATAGGTAGGCCCTAATCAATTTGTTAATTAACATGTTTTTATTTCCCCACTAGAGCTGGGATATTTAAGATTTACGTCGCTTATTTTAACTGTAGGCCTAACTGCAAATATTTGTTTTTTTACATACGGTAATAGGCCTAATTGCAGTTACAGTTAATATAAGCGACGTAGATCTTAAATATCCAAGCTCTAGTGGGGAAATAAACATGTTAACTAACATTAATTACTTTTACTTTTATGAATTACTTTAATTTTTGTCAATTACTTTTATGAATTTTATTCAACCAGTGCCGGATTTACCACTAGGCCGATTAGGCCGCGGCCTAGGGCCGCAAGCAAAAGGGGGCCGCAGAGGATTGGGAAAAACATTTTTTAGATAAAATTAATAACAAATAATTTATTTTAAATCACAGGTGACCATAATGATGTCTCCGCGGACCGAGGGAGATGTTCACGATTTTGCCGCGGCCTCGGGTGCCTGTGATGATGTCCCGTGATTGCGGCCCGCGGGAGACGTTCACGATTTAGCCGCGGCCGTGGGTGACGGGGATGTCTCTTTATGATCACAGCCCGCAGGAGACGTTCACGAATTAGATGCTGTATAGAGTTGTCAATGATGATGTCCCCGTGATTGCGGCCCGTGTGCGGGAGATGTTTACGATTTCGCCGCGGTCACAAGTGTCGATGATAATGTCCCCGTGATTGCGGTCCGCGGCAGATGTTCATGATTTCACCGCGGCTGTGAGTGTTGATGATGCATCCCCGTGATTGCGGCCCACGGGAGATGTTTTTTTTTTCATTCTTTATTTTGTAATTTCATTAAGAATAATACAATGGCGTCATGTTAACGATTTCGCCGCGGCTGGGGGTGTCCATGTGGATGTCCCCGTGGTGGCTTACCGAGGAGGATGTTTACGATTTCGGCACGGCCGTGGGTGTCAATGATGAAGTCCTCATGGTCACAGTCCACGGGAGATGTTTTTAACACGACTTTGCCGCGATCGCAAGTGTCGATGATGATGTTCCCATGATTGCGGCCCGCGGCAGATGTTCATGATTTCACCGCGGCTGAGAGTGTTGATGATGATGTCCCTGTGATCGCGGTTCACGGGAGTTGTTAACGATTTCGCCGCGGCTCGGGGTGTCAATGATGAAGTCGTCATGATCGCAGTCGACGGGAGAGGTTTTTTAACACGACTTTGCCGCGATCGCAAGTTTCAATTATGATGTCCCCGTGATTGCAGCCCGCGGGAGATGTTCACGATTTTACTGCGGTCCCGGATAACTATGATGGCTTTGACTTGGTTTAGGAGAGATGTCCATGATTTCATCCAGGATCACGGGTGTCGATGATGATGTCCCCTTGATGTATAGGAGATAGTCACTATTACTTCCACGATCGCAAGGAATTTTCACCACAGGGGGAGTAATTTGGCCTAGGGCCGCAAGTACCCTAAATCCGGCACTGTATTCAACAAAATTCATAAAAGTAAAGTTGATCAGTACTAAACTATAATTCAACTTCAGTCTCTTAGTTGATAAATGTAGTGGACTAGTCTCTTGATAATCTAAAACCGAGTAAACCGTATCAATTCTAAAAACTAGTAGGCCTATTGGAACCTTAAAACCCACATGTATTGTATAGAAAACAAATCCGTACTTCTATAGTATCTTAGCGCTATTGTTTTAAGAGGTCGGTTATGACAAAACTTATAACTAGGGTGATGTTTTACACACCTTTACATATTTACTGTCCAAACAATACAGTAGGCCTATGATATAAAATTTTATTGTGGGTCTTCAGCATTTATCACAACAATACCTAACTGCTTGTTACTATAGTCTGTATGATGGAACCTGTGTCCTGACCCTCTGTCTACCTGGGACTGATCCGAACCTTAACCCATTGGGCAGTCTCCAGGTAGATGGATAGTCAGGAGACAAGTTCAATCATACAGACTATATTGGCAGCAAATCTAGAAATTAAAACTGCAACTAAATTTGGTGAACACAACATTATGAAAGTGAATGTTCTGAGACTGAGTTATGTTTATTCATCACATGAAGTACTGCTGTTGAAAGTTTTTAAATATTTACAAGCGATTTAAAATTCATTACATCAAATGGTTACTTGTAAATCTGACCTACCGATCGCTAGTTTATTCTGGACTATCATGGGTCTACTACAAATATATCTTAAAATTTGAGCTCTTTCACACACAATCTCATACTACAAACAACACTTGTTTAACACGCAAAATCCACACACTCTAAGCAAAGCCAACCGACCTAGGATGGAAACTCTCGTCTTGCATGTAGGAATAAATATAAAAATATAAAAGCTCATATAAAACACAAACATAACAATAAGACTATTTTAAGTACCCTTAAATACTAATTTGGTGCGAACTTGATAAGAAGTGCATCAGGAGAGAATGGATGAACGCAAATGCTGTATTGAGTCTCCGATGATGTCTTCGTCTGTTGACAACACGACGTCCGAGTCAGACTCTGTTCGAGGCAGTCGAGTGTGCAGATAGCGGACTTTTGTCTTCTGCACCAACCGGTTGGTTTTCGTCTCCGACCGATGCATTAGGAAGTCATCCGTGACCCAAAACATCAAAGCCTGGAAATAAATATACTTCAATACACCTGCATCTGGACTAAATATACCAATTTGTTGCATTTAATGCCTTAAATAATAAATATATAGAATTTAAGCAGTGGTATGTGATTTACAGTTGCTGGACCTGATTATAGTCCAGACTTACCGTCAGAACATCTGATAAGTTAGGCTAATACAAATGAATGGATACACCTCACGACTACACATTGTGAGTGAAACGCTTTGTAATTTACATTAGATCTATCATACCCACAAATAAAGGAATAATGCATGTAACAAACAGTGCTAGACAAAAACTGAATAGGTTGTCTACTTGTGTAAGACAAAGCAGCGCTGGTGTACGAGTATATATATTTTTTTTTTATTTATTTGGAAAATCTCAAAAATATTACAACATTTCATAAACAAAGCTTGCTGCAAAAGCCAGGAAAAATTGGCTTGTCTGCAGCTCATAGAGATAAACTTGTTCTAGATAACAATGTACTTTGTCCCTTGGTCAGTCTTCTCCATATTACACTCTGGTTTTCCTTGTTTCTTGTCAAGATCTGCTATTTGTTGTTTTGACTTATTCTCTACCTTTCTATATAAGACTAGCTTGCTTTAAAAACCACTTGAAACAATTATCTTAAATAAATAAAATATATAAAAATAAATAACATGCATTAAATACTTCTCAACTTTAACAATAATATAATGAAATAATTTTTTTAACAATACAACAATACATAACTAAATAAATAATTAAATAATTTATAATAACAACAATATTAAACCAGTTTTAATGGATTCCTTGAGATGACAATACTAAAATAAATAACGTGCATTAAATGATTTTAACTTTAACAATAATATAAAAAGAAAGTAATGTAATAAACAATGTTTAAATGAATTTATTGAGATAACAATGCTTAAGCCTAGATTTCAAGACTCTAAAACTAGTTATATTTTCTATTTCAGTTGGCAATCTATTAAAAAACGTTGGAACTAGAAATTTTCTAACTCTTTTTGAAAATTTGTTTGTGGTCTTAGGAACAATATAAAACTGTTTGCGTGAATTGTATCTATGGTCATTTTTTACTTTAAATTCATTTGAGAAATAGTAATCAAGTAAAATTATATACTCAAATAATACATCCACTGGTAATACCTCAACTATCCTATATCCGAGCAGAGGGTTTTCTGACAAAACAGTAGAGTCAAGCTTTGTCATAGTTTTTATGATTCTATTTTGCACAGTTTTTATTTGATTTATGGCTGTGGGTGATGCTGATCCCCATGATCTTAAGCCATATCTAATCACTGACTCACATATGCCTGAATATATGATTTTCATTGTTGTAAAAGGTAAAAAATCTTTTAAATAGAAAAATTTTGCTGCACAAACTCGTAGCCTGTTTGTTACTGTCTTAATTTGTAAATCCCATTTCATATTGTGGTCAATTGTTATACCTAAATATTTGTAATTCACTACATTCTGTAATGGTAGGCACCCACATGCAGCATTTTCAAATTGTTTATTGTGTAAGCAGTCATGACAATGGAATTTCACATTTATTTCTGAGCATTTGTATGACGGTGAATGTATGTGCATCAACTTTGATTTATCTCCATTTATAGCTAGACCATTGTCGTGGCACCACATGGTTAAACTTAAGAAATCTATTTGCATTTTTTCGGTAGCTTCCTGAATGTTTTTGTGGGATAATACAAGCGCAGTGTCATCTGCATACATATATATTCTACTAAATTTTAATATTTCAGGAAGTGAATTAACATACAACAAGTATATCAATGGCCCTAATATACTACCTTGGGGTACCCCATACCTTAAGATTTTTTCCTCTCCATATGTACTCTTAATTCTAACCTTACATTTTCTATCCATTAAATAACTTAAAAACCAGTCTTTAATTTGCCCTCTTACTCCTGCTGTGTCCAGAGCCATTGCAATTGTCTCATGCTTTAAAGTATCAAATGCCTTACTAAAGTCTATAAATATTACTAAAACCTGTTTTCCTTCACTAAGCTGTTCATTTATATAATCTGTAAAATCTAAAAGTAGCTCGTTTGTTCCTTTCTTCCTCTGATATGCATATTGCTGTTTGCTAATAATACTATTCCTTTCTAAATGGTCAATCAAATTATTTGCAATATATCGCTCCATTAACTTACTAATAGCTGGTAAAATAGATATTGGACGATAATTCAAATAGCTCTCATGACTTCCTGCTTTATAAATTGGTCTAATTACTGCAGTTTTTAACAGTTCTGGAACGCAAGATTTTTTAATTGAAGTATTTATCAGTCTTATTATGGGTTCAGACAGTAAATCAGAATTGTTTTTTATGTCCTGCATGCGTATATTATCTAAACCAGGTCCCTTTTTCTTCATAGATTGTACTAATATATTAAAATTTTCCTTATCCAGGTCTGGTATGGTTAGAGTCTCCTTACATTTATTTTGCTCCTTATATTGTGACACAATTATCTGACAGTCATGTAAAGATGCATATACACATTCTGTGAATTGTTCTCCAAAGGAATTGCACACTGTTTCTATTTTGTTGTTCTTATCCAATAAATATTTCTCTACGACCTCATCTATATTTTTTGTTTTATTTTTTCCCAAAATTGTATTTATATTATTCCAAGTCACTTTCATATCGTTTCTACTTCTTTGGAACAAACAATAGTAATAATTTCTTTTAGCTTTATTAATTTCTGCAACTACCTGGTTTCTAGCAATTTTATAATCAACTCTATGTTTAGTTATATTTGGGTAGGCTTTATGTGTTCTGAAAAGTTTGTCTCTTTTTTTAATCATGTTAACTATTTTTAAACTCATCCATGGCTTCTTTGTTTGCTTTTGTATTTTTATTTTACAAACTGAACTAATTTCATAGGCTTCTTTGAAATTTAATAATATACGGTTGTAAATATCATTTGGATTATTTAAAGTATTAATTGACTGCCATTCCATTTGTCCTAGTGCCTGTTTTAGTAAAGCTATATCAATATTTGCTGATTTATTTTTCCTCTGAGTGGCTGGACAGTAATGGTCAGTCTGAACGTTGATCACACAGGTGTAGTGGTCTGATATCTTGACCTGTACGATATCTGAGCTGACCTTTGCTCTCTTAGCTCTAAGGAACGCATGGTCTATACATGTCTGGGTCAATTTATTTGCTCTTACTTCCTCTCTGGTAAAAAAACTTCATATGTATGAATTTGTACATGAAATGTACAAATGAACTTCATATGTATGAATATGTAAATATGAATCATATGTAGGAGGTATTTTGAACAATCAGAAATCTGAACCAAACATAACCACGGTAGAGAAAATCTTACTTCTCTCTGTATACTTGATTTGTGTTTTGAAGTTGGACGTATCAACTTGGTGGTAGTTACCTTCATTTTTAAAATTTTCTGTATATTTTCCTGCTCAAGTTTTAACACATTTGTAATTTTGTAAGGATATACGCCTACAATCAAATGAAATCATTCAACATCTTTGAATTCTTTTATAGTAATTAATTAATTTGGTTTGAGTAAATAATGAATCTATGGATTTTAAATTAATTTTTTACAGGTTTCAACCTAATAACAGCACTTAAAACGGTATAAGAATGACTATTTTACCCCATCTCAGCCTTTGGAATCTGGGTCGACGCAGTTACAAAGAGGTAAATAAGTTCATCATACCTAATCAATGGAATCTCACAACTAAATGATAAAAACTCTACAAATTTGGACTGAAACCCTGCATGAATTCCCTTAGCCAAAATAAACATGACTTTAAGCAACTTAAATGCTAGTTTTGTAACATTTTTTCAATTGTATTCCTTCTTATAAAAATAATAGGTGTGAAACTCTCATTGTGAATACAAGAGCTAGCTTACCTGGGAGGGGAGTCCTAGGGGCTTGAGAAAACAGAGAAAAAATCAATAGATTTATTAATAATGACAGGAATAATAATTTGACTAAAAGAAGGTAATACAATCACATTCAGACATTTCATAGTATGACATTGAATTGGAATAAGCCTAAATCCTATCTAAAGGGGAGTATTGGTATCGACACATCACTACATGAAGCCTATGGTAATTTTCTATATGGGAAATACAATAAAAAAACACATATATAAAAATAAGTATTATCTTATAACTTGTAGACTAATCACAAGCAATTTTATACTATACTATTCTTATCAAGTTCTCTTCCACTGATATCAGTTTTTTTTTCAGGCACTGAGTATTCAAAACAGTGTAGCAGCTCATATAAAAACACTCATATCAGAAGACAAAACCCCAAGTGGAACAGTTCTCTTGGTGGAGCACGACCCAGTCTACACTGTTGGCCTCAGAACTAAACAGTACACAGAGAGGGACGAGGAAAAACTAAAACAGCTCGGTGCAGAATTTTACAAAACAGACAGAGGAGGACTCATAACGTTCCACGGGCCGGGACAACTAGTGGTGTATCCAATAATAAATTTGAAAATATTCAAACCGAGTGTTAAATGGTATGTTTCGAACATAGAGAATGTCGTTATAGACATTTGTCGGCAGTACGGGCTGAAAGCAGAAACGTCTCCTCACACGGGAGTTTGGGTCGGTGATAAGAAGATTTGTGCTATCGGTATCCACGGTAGTCGTTACGTCACGACTCACGGGTTTGCGCTCAACTGCTCCACAGAACTCGAATGGTTCACTCACATCGTCCCCTGTGGAATCGAGGGTAAAGGTGTTACCTCAATATCAGAGGAACTCGGTGAAAAAATAACTCCAGGCGACGTTTTACCACAACTAATAGACTGCTTCGCTAAAGGTTTTAACTGCTCACTTGGAAGTTTACAAGATTATACTAATGTAGAAATTCTACTGAAAAGTATACATTGATATTTTGAACTAATATTTTGTATTGATATTAAAATAGTTTCTTTTATGTTCAACAAATTATATTTTTCCACGTTGTACCTCAGAAATGTTGTACCGTACCCTAACATGCTTTATAACGGTTATGTGAATTGTAATTGAATAACAGCTGATCCTTCAGTTGAATGTTTAAAAACTGTCAGATGTCATATTATAAACAAGAGACTTGTAAAATGGATTTAAAATAGCCAAGGGTACTTTAAGTAATAATCATCATCTGATCGAGGTTGGTAAATCACTACTTCATGGTATGGATCTACCTACAGTAAAAAATTGTATCATGAATTAGTAGTTTTATTTACCTAATAACTGTCTCAAACAAAACATAATCTTTGAAAGTAGAAGGGTATTGCATTATTCGTATTGCCTCGAAAACAAGTTTTGAACTCTAATAAAATGTGTGATTAGCGCTCGGGTACCCTCCTATCTCTAATTTATTCCTAGTTGGTTCTAGCAAATAAACTTTGAACTCACTAATACTAGGAGGAACCACCTCACACTAGAATACATCAGTAAAGTTAAACACCAGTACGTTTGTCTACTTACATTGACAAAGAGAGGTATAATCAGCATTACCACTGCCAGTTCTACGTCTTGGTTGGGAAACGGATAGAGAATGAGCTCGCGCACTTTGTCCCAGAACTGGAACTGTATGAGCACTGTGATGATCACTTTGACCAGAAACATGAGCAGGATGTAAAGACAGCACTGGGACAGCCAAGCGTTGGTGGAGGGTGGCATTCCTAAGGAAAAACACATTCTGTGACATGGATGTACGGAAACAGATTAGGCCTAATAAATAAAGACCAATTTTCTCTGGATAATCTGTCAACACTGGCAAATGCTGCTCAATGAGTAGGTAACACCAGTGCAGTAATAAAAATCTCAAAGTTCCGAAGAGAACCAATAATATAACCTATTATTGAATGAAATTTGTTTGATATTTATATAGTACAGATATAGTTTTTGCGATGTTTTTCAAAAAGACTTGTCACATTAGTTGCGGATACTGTATTAGGTTAGGTTAGTTCAGTTTGATAATAATAAACAAGGTAACATTAAAAACAAAAGTTGGTTTACAGTGCAATTATTTGTTAAAGAGATTTATTTACTGAGACGTCAATTTATATTTGTACTGTCCGTCTTTTTTCTTAAGTTTCATAAACTAAACTTACCTAACCTTACGTACCACAGCACACAGTAAAAGAATGACAGGTTTTTTCTCTACTTTAAAAGAGCATTAACAAAAATTAATAATTAGCCTACATTTAATAGTTATATTGATTGAATGCCAATATTTAAATTGATATCTTCATTGAACTAATATTTATTGATAATATATTGTACGTTCTCTGCGGAACTTTGCCCATTTTCAGTCCAGTTTCATGGTCCTTATTGTGCTCTGCTTAATTGTTTATCACAGTTGAACCCAAGTGCTTATTTGCATATTACATTTATTAACCTTTCAACCGTATGATATTTCAAAAATCTTTGAGCTTTTAAAATGGTACTGATTAAGGAAACGGCTGGTCATACCGTATTCTCCAAAGTTGATGGAATCCCACTGTTTCACTTTGGCTACAAATTGTGTTAAACGGATTCCAATGTAAATCAGCAGCAAACCGATTGAGGAATCTAGGAGGAAGTTTATGATATACCTGCAAAAAATTACAATCAATAGAATCGTACAAAATATGAGTGAGTCTGTATGAAGTCTGTCCAATAAAAATTTGTGAGAAAAATGCCAAAATTTAACAATCAAGCATAAGTGAAAATATATTGGGAAAACACAGTTAATGGAAAGAATTAATAGGCTGGAATATCCTAGAGGCCAGTGTCTCGTATGATTTTACGAATATGTCTGATTCAATCCTACAAAAATTTAAGATTGAACTGCTTTCCCTTAAAAGCATTTGGAAGACAATATACAAAATGGCATTGGTGTAGAGAATAAAATAACTTGCTGTACAACAACAGCTATCTGGTAACATTCTTCTACTTGGGGGTCCACACTAGATACAGCCTGTAGCCTACAGCATGAGTTGATGGACATACGTTAGGTACTGGTTTTCTAGATCATGTAATCTTCAACAAAAAATAAAATTTTGTATGAATTAAGCCTCCTAACCACTGAATAATATGTGTACTGGTGCAATCCCCTGCTGGCAAGTCCCTGCAAGTGATAAGTCACAAGTCTTTACCTTGAAAAGCGAGCAGTTTCGATCCTCACGGGATAATCTTTAGGCAAACGTCGTCATCTTTATTTCAATCTTGGAAACTCGTTGATTTCTTAAAAATCATTAAATCATTTTTTACAATACATTTAGTCACACACATGCACGAAACATGTAAAAATGACCATAACTATTAAAACAATCGGTTAAGCGACGGGCGACACGTAAGTAGAGTCTAGACAGGCTGCACGCCGGTGTCATTGTTTCCTTTGCATTCCTACCCCTAATCTGACTGTTTTCTCAGACCACATTATTTCTGTTTTATCCGTCTTGTTTTTTAGCTATTTTGTAGGCCAGTGAAGGAGTGACATTTAATAGAGGTCAGGCTTGAGGATTTTAGGCAATCCTCTGAAAATGGGAGCTTGTGGGTTTGTTACTTTCACTGATTTAATTTCTGTGTTAGAAAGTAAGTGTCTACTTGAGTTAATGCATAGACAAAAAGAATTGAAAATATACTGTCAGCCGTGCTGCGGTTACCATAGGTTCCGGCGCACACAGCTGTAGTTTACGTAGCGTGTATGCCGTAACTACATGGCGCTCCAAGCGGTGTGCACCAGAACGTATGGTAACCGCAGCACAGCTGACGGTCTATATTTAATTCTTTTTGTCTATGGTTAATGGTTTTATTCAATTGTTTGGTAAATCTTTGAGTAGGGTCATTGTAAACTCTATGAATATCATTTTCCTCAAAGAATTGTCGGACCTTAGTTGAATAATCTTTGAGGGTATCTTAAGGATGACGATGAAATTTCTCTTATCTGTTTTTGTGATTATGGCATTGTTATCAGTCAGCTTTTTCCTTATGTGTGCCGCTACTTGTTTTAACGTGTGGTATTTAGTCTTTTGTTCGGTTTTTTTTAAACCGGACAATGTATCTTGATTGTACATTTGGAATATTTTTGATTGTAGCCCCAGTCTGTAATAGTTCTGAGATTAGGTTGCATTAAAAATCAGATAATGAAAGAAAATATGCTTATAAAATACGGGGTCCCACTAAATAATGTAATTAATAATTAAATATTAAAAAATAACAATACAAAACACCCAACAAACTAGGCAGCATTCTTAACGATAGGTAAGCCTCAAAACAATTTAAACATAAAACTGGAATATAGAAACTGAAATGCAACAATTGCCCTAGATTTATATATACAGGACATATTGCAAGGCCATCTATTATTATTATTATAAAGATACTATTATAAAGAAGAGGTGGTGTCTGTGTGTGTGTTTGTATGAGCTAATCTCAAAAACTACTGGTCGGATCGGGCTGAAATTTGGCATGATGATAGCTCACATTCCCGATTAACATATAGGCATATTTTTATCCCAAAAAATCCTTCGGCTCTGGAGTTTCCCATGTTAACCTTATGAGAAATGGAATTAATGAATCTTAACAGCTGTTTCAATTAAACAAGTTGGTTATGTTCTATGATGTTCAATAGCATTAAAAGTTACAAGGATTACCAACAGGGTGCAGCACTAGCACTATTATTTCTTTTACATTTATGACAACAGCAAAAGGTGAGTGAGCGTAGCGAACGAACTTCAACCTGGAGGCGAGTGAGCGTAGCGAACGAGCTAACCTGAAGGCAAGTGAGCGTAGCGAACGAGCTAACCTGAAGGAAAGTGAGCGCAGCGAACGAGCTCCAACCTAAAGGTGAGTGAGCGTAGCGAACGAACTTCAAAAAGAACCGAAATTTCTTAAACCATCTCCTCACTCATAACTGCTATAAGCATTTGATACTTATATGCCAACCCCGTACGAAGGACGGGTACTCTGCTAGTTTAACATAAGATTTAAGGAACATTTACCTAAACCGTCAAAACGAAAATCAGCATAGCCTATGCCAACCATTTTATTGATAATAACCACATCTAAACTAATATCTTAATATATAATAAAAGAGGAACTATGTATGTATGTGTGTGTGTGTGTGTATATATACGTTATGGACTCCGAAACCGCTCGACAGATTGTAATGAAACTTTCAGGCATTATTAAGCATCTTTCAAGGATGGTTCGAGTGAAGTTTGGTGCAGATCCGTCAAAAGGGCTCTGCCCCAGAGGGTTTTAAGAATAAGAATAAGAATCATTTATTCCATTGATCTTTTTACAAAGAAATAGGACACGTCATATACATTACAAAATAATCATCCAAATACAATCAAGTTTCTGATACATCCAAATAATATAAAAAGTACAATTAATTAGGTATAATAGCTTATTTTAATTAAAATTTACATCAAAATTACACTTTATAAAGTCACTTATGCTGTAGAAAGGATTTTGAATTAGCCAATTATAAATTCTATTTTTGAAAATATTGAAATCAACAAATTTTGCACTATCAGGTAGTTTATTAAAAAAGCGAATTGAGTTAATTTTGAAAGAGTCACCCGTTTTAGCCAGTCTATGAGGTTTCATGCTGAGCTTGCCTCCACCCCTAGTATTGTACTGATGAGTGTCAGATCTAAGGGGGAAAGAATGCAAGTTTGACTTGGTGTAGAGTAAAACTTGAAAAATGTACAAATTAATGACTGTTGGAATTTTTAATTGTATGAAAAGAGGTTTACAATGAGATAGGGATCTTGAATTAGCAATATTACGAACTGCCTTTTTTTGAATCGTCAAAATATCAGCTACATGAGGGGAATGTCCCCAAACTAGAATGCCATAGAGTATGTGGGACTGAAACAGACCAAAGTACGATAGTCTCAAATATTCTTGGTTAACAAATTTTTTTAATTTCCATAATAAGCAATCTACTCTTGATAACTTTTTGCAAACCGCCTCAATATGATTTGACCAACTTAATTTTGAATCAATGTGAAATCCTAAAAGCTTGACAGAATCTAGACTAATTTCCTGCTTGAGACTCAATGTCAAATATTGTGTCTTTTCAAGATTAGAATGTAGCTCATTTGAAGAAAACCAAGCAAGAGCCTGTTCCTCAGCTTCTGCAGTGACCTGTTTCAGGTACTCTAAGTTTTTGTGACTGGCTAGTAAAGTGGTGTCATCAGCATAAATTATTGAATGGATATTGAGATTTTGAGACAAGTCGTTTATGTATACTAAGAAAAAGAAAGGGCCTAAAACAGAACCCTGAGGGACACCGGTCTCTACAGGTTTCATAGCAGAACATTTATTTTTAACTGATACATACTGTTTTCTGTCATACAAATATGATTGAATAATTTTTATTGTGCCATCTTCAATGCCATAATATGATAATTTACGTAGTAATACATCAAAAGGAACACTATCAAAAGCTTTACTGAGATCACACAAAACTAGCGAAACCGACTCCTTATTTTCAAATGCATTTAGTGATAAATCTGTTAAGTTAAGTACTGCCGAGGTGGTAGACTTACCAGGACGGAAACCATGCTGGCATTCAGAAAATAAATGTTGGGACTCGAAAAAATAACTAAGTTGATTGTACATTAGAGATTCAAATATTTTAGAGAATATCGGAATAATAGAGATAGGTCTGTAATTTTGATGTAAATTTTTATCTCCTTTTTTAAAAACTGGAATCACTTTAGATATTTTGAGCAATGAGGAAAAGTATCCTTCTGACATACATTTGTTAAAAATAAAAGCAAGTGGCTCACTTATTATATGGATGGTTTGTTTCAGTATTGTGTTAGACAGCCAATAATAATCCATTGAATTAGAGTTGGAGAATTTAGATACTACTTGTATTACATCAGTTGAGGAAATTTCTGACCATGTGAACATTGTTGTGTTTTTTGGAATACTACTCAAGAGTTCTACTGGATTATTGGGACCGAGATTAGTTCCTTTGCTTAACTGATTTATTGAGTCTATAAAGAAATTGTTAAATTCATCCGGATCTAAATTGACATCAGAACTGTGAGTTGGAGAAAACTCACTGCTTATAACTTTCCATGCAGCCTTGCAGGAATTTGAGGCATTGCTTATATACTGCTCTACAGCATTTTTTTTAGCTTGCAGAAGTTCCCTTTGATATAATCTTTTTTGTTGCAAATAAACATTATAAGCAGCCTGACAGTGCTCTGAACCTTGCTTAAGCATATTCTTATAAATTGTGTACAGAGTTAACATTTTACTTTTTGTTTCTGCTAATGAAGGAGTATACCAATTAATAATTTTGGATTTTTTACATGCAACCTTATCAGTTACTTTAATCAAAGGAGAACAAAAATGCCATAAATTAACATACTTCTTAAAAAAATCATCAAATAACGTCTGAACATTAATTTTATTTTGTTTAAAATCATCAATCATTTGCCAATTTTGTTTTTCTAAATTATATTTAAATAAGTCAACATTTTAATTTTTTTGTAATCTAATATATGTACTGCCAGGTTGTATTTTACTTCTGAGAGAGTTGGTAGCAGAATACATATTAAATAAAAGTGGTACATGATCAGAA